CCCCCCCCCCCCCATCCTGAATGCTGAGCTAGGCAAACAACGGTGGCGATTCGCCAACAGGTGCGGCGGACGGGCCCCAACGGTAGATGTGGTGGTCTAGTAGAGGACGTGCCTCGCCAACGGCGGTGCCCATCGCTGACCGCGACACTCCGGGGCAATCGTGGCAACACTACTGCAGTGTCTAGCGTGTCGAGTTTTGTAACTTGAGGTCGGGGACGTGTTGCAATTTGTTCCGTTGGCCAGCAGGACATACGGCGTCCCTTGACTAGACTGTGCCGTTATTTGGCCATGTGAACATTTCCCGTCTTGTTGGCCCTCTGTGCTCTCGTGATGTAGGGCCCCGGCGATAACCGGATCGGAACCTTGGTTGTGGAGACCGAGGAGGACAAGTGGATCTACAAGGTGCGCGGCGTGCGCGCAAGAGAGAGATACAGAGAAACACACAGAGAGACACACACTGAGAGACAGAGATAGATAGACAGAGAGAGGTGCATTATCTCCAAGCCTGTGCTTGTAAATCCGATGACACCCCACGAACTATGCCTAGAGCGCATTGCTCTTTGGTCTACAATACGTGGTTTCACGATTTAGACTACTCGCTCGATGTTGTTGCTTACTCTGTGCTGTATAAGCCACGTTTTTGGTCATGCCACGCGGAATGCAGTTGCAGTGTTTGCACCAGCTTGTGTAGGCTCTTGACCGCAGCAGCATACCCATAACGAACCCGGCAAGACGATCACAGATTGTCTTATCTAGGCTCGACGCCCGTTGCCTCATTCCAACGCCCTCGCAACGCTTTGCATGTATCCTCCCGGTCCTTGTCCTCGTCCGTGCCATGACACAGATCGAGGGCGTGGTCGGTTAACTACGAAAGCCAAGAACACGCACGTATGGGGACCTTGTAGCACATGGAAGCGCGTGGGGAATGCTGTGTATGTCTTTCATCTGTTCATTGAATAGAGGTCAAGTTTGACGGAGTTTTTATGGTTTCCTTGGCTGAAGTTTGGAGAGCACGGGATAGATTGAACGGGATCGTGCGATTATCAAGAAAGCCGTTGAGCGCGAACGGCGCAGTACCAGCACCAACGCGTGACAGAGATTGTTGGCCATGGGTGCTGGTTGATGAAGACCTTCTTGTACCAGTACCAACGCGGGATAGAAATTGTTGGACATGCGTTAGTTGCCGGTTCATGAAGGCACGCTTGCCGTGCTCAGTTGAAGCTTGCCCTCTAATCGAGAAGGGCTGGCTTCGTTTATTCAACCTGGTGCGTCCGCACCGGATGGGGTGTGGGCACCACCCTGGGGTACCCTTTGACGCTTAGAAAGAACGTCGCCTGCTGGCGGTGCAATGATATCATTCGTTTTGTTTGATGTGGTTCGAAGGTGGGATAGATTTGGCGTAGGAGCATACTCCGTGCAGTGTCTCGATGGATATCCTTGCGCTTCATGCTGAGATGAAACAAAATAAAGCGTTTGAAATGTCGTGGGTAACCCGATGGCATTGTTGACGTCTTCTCGACGATGAAGATTGCCTTGATACCGAGTGTTTTCGCCAACGCTATTTGGCGACCTAGATACATGTAAATAAGACTTGCTCCCACTTGCATGTTCCGGACGTGAAATTTCGACCCTTCGTGGCGTACTTTCTCACATTCCGCAGCTGATGCTGAAGCGTCCCGAGTCCATTTGCGAGTTCCGATGCAACACGGTTGGTGTTGCTGCCGGGCCTAGGAGATAGGAGATATGAGCGGGTGTTGATTGATCACCCTGACTGTTGGGGATGTGTGAACAGGAACAACGTCCCTATGAGACGATGACGATCCACGACTCTCTACTACTGCACAACACCTCTTTTGTTTACAGTCGACCCCGCTTTAAGGACGCACATGGTTGTTCCTGAAAAAAGCGCCCTCAAAGCGGGGTTGCGTCCTTAAAATTCAGGGGACGATTGCTCACCATACCCGGGGCCAATGGAGGCATGCTATAGTCTACCTCGAACTACGCGTCTTTTGAAGGGGGGTGGTACGAAAAGTCAGCATCGCCGAGACGACTGGCATCCGTTTGTTGACGTCGAACATATTTACAATATTTGAAATGAAATGTGCAGCAGTCTGGGACGTGTTGAAAACAACTACAACAGTACACCAGTTTGTACTTGGCCAACTAGTGTACTGCAAAGCCGGCAGCGGAAGAAGGAGGAAAGTCCAAGTAGGCATATGGTCCGTGCACAAGTAAAAATCCCAAAATTTCCCAGCACAAATGACAACTTTTCTCTGCACAC